TGCATCTCTGCTTTCATCGCCTTCATCCACTCCGCCGCATCGTCACCATTCATGGCTTGCTAATACGTCGTTGGTGCATCGCCAGCCTCGCCGACACTAGCAGCATATGCCAGCACTGCCTCAGCGAGCAGTCCGTCTTCATCAATGCGCGGTCGCTTGGGCGATAATGGTCAGAAGTGGTCGTCGCTGTCAGGATCATTGTCGGTCCCATGGTGCTCGTCGTTGTTCGTCGATTCCACAATCGTCGATTCGTAATTCGAGGAGCCCACGTTCAGCAGTAGCATCGGTGTCTCTGCTCGGTGAACACGCTCCGTCCTCGGGTGGAACACCATGCTGTCATCGGTCGTCATCCTTGAAGATCTTCTGTTAGTCGTCAGCTCGATGTTGGCCCTGGTTCAACGTCCTGCATTTCTACGTCATCGCCGCCGAGTTTCTCCTCAGCAGGCGGCATTGGTTCGTCGAAGGGAAGGTTCCCCCGTGGCTGCACGTCTCATGCTGCGCTAAATCGTCGACCTCCTTGGTCACATGAACCATTGTCGACTGGTTCGGTACAGCCGTATCGTAGATACCGTTGACCTACCGTTCATCCAGTGTCAGCGAACGTGACACCTAGAGCCTGTTTAACTCCAAGTCGTACACCCGGTACCCCTTGACGTTCTCAGCATACCCCAAGAACATACACTTGAAGCTCTTTGCATCCAACTCCGTACGTTTGCCGACTTCCACATGAGCATACCCGGTTGAGCCGAACACGCGCAAATGCTTCATGCGCGGCTTCATCTTGAAGCACTATTCATACGGTGTCATTTTGGCTTGAACACTGTTCGTGGTCCTGTTGATCAGGTACACCGCTGTATTCACCGCCTCGCCCACCACAACGATCACACACCCTTATAGTGCAGCATGCTCCGAGTCTTCTCCACGATCGTCCAGTTCATTCGCTCGGCCACGCCGTTCTGTTGCGGGCTGTACGGCACAGTCTTCTAATGCACGACCCCGCTGAGCTCACAGATCCCATCTAGAGCCTTGTCCACAAACTCAGTGCCATTGTCTGAGCAAACCACATTAACTCGCTGACCCTACTGGTTCTTGTTCAGCGCCTGGACGCCTTGAACACCATTTCACTCTTCTTCATGAGGAAGTACACGGCCACAAACCTCGAGTGGTCGTCCATGAATGTGAGGACGTACTTCGCTCCACCCTTCGACTTCGTCGTTATGGCTCCCCCACCGATAGCAGTCGGAGATCGAGGCCAAGAATGGAGAGTAACTCCATCATCCGGATGCGCTAGCCGTCGATGCCCTTCAAGCGCACCGACCTTCTTTCCCGCCACGCGCAGCTTCTTACCATCAGTGATGGTCACCTCGATGTTCGTGTTCACGACCTCATACTCAAAGAGGTCGTCCTGGTACGGCGTCATCTGCGACGTCGCATCACTGTCGATCAGCCAGCTCGGTGATCGATCCTTGCCATTAGCGAGTGCAGTATCAGCCACGGCACTGGTGATCACTGAGTCTTCTGAATCATTCGCCGAGCTTAATCACTGACCGCGAATACTGCACCATCGTCACTGCCGTCGACCTTGTTCGGGCAGTCCCGCTTCATGTGTCCGACCTGGTCACAGCTAAAGCACTTTCCCCGGAACCCGCCATTCTTCTTCGCGCCGTTACCCTAACGGTCGTTATTCCTGCCGCGTTTCACAAACTTGCCGTTCTTGCCCTTGCCACTATCAGAGGTGACCTTCAACGCGCGATCCGACGTTTCCTTCTTTTCCAGTCGCTCGTACTCCTTGAGTAACTTCTTCTCCACCTCGATCAGCGTGACGTCCTTTGAGTTCTCGATGATCGACGAGATCAACTTGAACTCGCTGGGCAGGCTGCTCAGCAATATAACCAACTGACGAGCATCGTCCAGTGGTTCGCCGAGAAATGGGAGACCCACGATGAGCTCGTCGAGTTTGTCGAGGTGCTTCGCCATCGTCGCCCTTTCCTCCATCTTGAACTCATAGAGTCGGCGAGTCATCATCACACGATTGTGCATCGTGGTCCGGTTGTAGAACTCCCGCAGAGTTCCCCACGCTTGAATCGCCGAGATCGCCGAGCGAATCTTCATCTGGTGCTCGAACGACACGCCCGGGGCGATAAGCCGAGCGCCTTTATGTCGTTCAGCTTCCACGCCCCGGTCATCTCTGCTTCCAGTTTCACTGTCTGCACTTGAGCCAGCCGTCCCTTACTCGCCAGCGTCATGCGCATGGCAAACTCCCAGTGGGAGTACTTGTCGCCTCCCAGGAGGGCTTCGGCCTTCTTCGTCGACACCGAGGCGGCGTCTTGAAGCTTGAGAGTCTGTGCGGCTGCTAACCTGTTGAGTAGTGGAGGTCAAATGCCGAAGTGAATTAGTTAGCAGCTACACAATCTACCCATCCTCCATGTCCGTGCTACCTTCCTGTGCGCCCTTCGTGTTCCCTGTGCCTCTACAGCAGCCGCCCTCGAGCTTCTCCCTGCGACCCCCCGACAAAATGAATGGTCATGGGGGGAGTGCTGGATATGATCCAATCACATCCAGCACTCACTCCTTTATCTCCTAATCAGATCTTGTCATACGTGAATCGCCGATTCCAGTCATCATTCGTCGAGTCAGTTCCTTATCTTCGCCGAGCTCATGCGTGTGCCCCACGCGCCCTCCAGACCATTAATCACTTTCACGTCATCAATGGATGAGTCCTTGGCTCGTCCAGCTCTCATTACGCGGTGCCGCTTCAACACATGACGATTGGTACTGACACGGATAGCGGTCATGGGACTCGAAAACGAGAGGTCCGCATAATACAAGGGCTGCACGCCTCACGCAATATGTGTAAGGGTTTGCAGCATATAATTGCGATCTGATACGTTTGCGCAAGGCTCAGAAATACTAAAAATGCTATGATGATAGGGAGGGAATGACCGCTCTGCCACAGTGACTGATAAACGCACTCGTGACGCTCAGTTTACCTCCGATGCTGCTGTTCAGGGCATGTCGCGGCTACGTACAATTCTTATTCAAGAATTTAGTCGTCTAGAGTACATGAAATAGGGTGTCGGAATCTTATCGTTCAGTGCTTGCGTGTTTGTGCCTCTATAAGCTGATCGCCAATATCAACAAGTGTACCTTTGGCGCCGGCGATACCCACTTCTTGGGTTGCTTCATTAGAAAGTTTGGCGTGCAGGCATATTCCGCAGAGGTACAAACCGTTGTAAATTGGCCTGCACCTTTGTCCCAAGATGTACGAAGTGTCTTGGCCTGGATGATTTCTGACAACAGAACAGTATGCCGGTATGGTTCGGCATCCTCCTATCACCTCACAAGATTTAGAAGTGCTGCCGTGTTGCGGTAAAAGAAAAGATCGTTAAAGCTGTCAAGAAGGACTCGAACGTGCATGATTCAGACTATTATGAAATAGTCATATCATTTCGTTTGTGAAGCATCAGCCTATGTATTAGGCAACGATTCTATCCAAGCAGATGGAACAGGCATGTACGCGTAATCGCATTCAATTCTCGCTAGCTATAAGTGACAGAGAAAAGCTTATCTGGTTTTGATAAAAATCTCTTTGCAATTAATTATGGCCTTGTCACGTTTAGAGTTCATCTGATTGAACCTAACCAATATGTGATCTACATAGATAATGCATCATTGCTTACACCGACGTCGCCGCAGCATCTCTCACAAAGAATCATTCTTACCTACCAAGTATGGAGTATAAGCTAGGCCGGCTTAACGTGGCGGGTGTGCTTCATTATAGATTGTCGCGCTTCACAACGAATTAGCCGCGCATTGCGCTGTTGAAATTTTTGGAAAGCAGGAAATTTTAAGCTCGGATATCACATATATTGCTATTCGTTGGTGGTCAAATAATATGTGGGTATGCTCGTATGTGTGTACGTGCAAAACGTGTCGCCAGGAAGGCACCTTTGGTCGCTTTGCCAGTCCTGGCAGAGCGTGGGCAAAATTTTTATCCTGACTCAGGATTTCAGGAAATGTGTTCTGAAGTTCCAGCATTGTGGTCATTGGCAAACGCTAAGAATAATTGCTAATATTGCTGCTGCCAGTGGCACCGTATCCAATGGGCCAAGCTGTTCCTCTTCAACGGTTTTTGCAGACATTCCTTGCCGTGACGATTGGGTTGGTGCGAGGCCCGCGCTTTTCAGTGAAGTTTTGGTTTATATACCAAAGATGCTAGCCGCCCGATTGAACATGGCAACTGCTTACTATCCACAGCGAGATGGTGGTTAAGTGAGTGTTGGATTATTATTGTTGGATTCCCATAAAGATTACCTTTGACAATAGATTTATTCCATTAGATAGTCATCCAGAGTTTATTTGGTATCTTTTTGGCTAGCTTGAATTTAAATAGTACAATCTTTAACTTGAAATGTTTAGTAATAATTAATTCAAAGGTCCTCAACTCGACACATGAGGATAGCTGGTCGGCATCGCTTTGCATTGGTTCATGCAGACTCTGAGACTCCAAGCTTCCTTCATGCAAAGTACGTGGTAATCTCTTTTATTTTGAATTAAAGTTAGCTTAAGTGATAATTTTCTATCAATTTTCGTACTATCTATAACAAAAATTTCGCTATGCACTGGTGAGATTAATTCCATCCCATATCGATTACTGATATTGATATCATGTTACTTCGTCTTGTGCTTCTGAGCTTCGCTCCATGTCTTAGGGTGATCAGTGCAATGTCATAGTCCCCCACGATGAACTCTGTCGAATTCATGAATGGGTAAATTTTTTCGAGTGTCATTATGAGGTGACGACAGATGCAAATGAAGCCAAGTGTACAATCTTTTGCTCAAACATGTTAAAGAGTATACACACTAGCAGTTAACTGAGAAAGCTCATCAAAGTTTGGCAGACTTAAGAATGATTTCATAACTAAGCATATTTAGCGAGCAATTAAAGCTCGTGAAATGCATATCCAAGGAGAATAATCTAATAAATAATGTTAAAACAAGCGAATAAGATATGAATTTAATTTTCAAAGCATGACATGCTGCTGAAAACAAGTGTAAGAGTTGGCGCGATACTAAAGGTGGTTGCTTGGTATGTAGCACTCTTACTTGATGTTACGTTTAAATGACGATGCTGTATGTTCCAACACCCTGATGACCGAATAAGAGAAACTCAAACTTTGATACCGCATAGAAGATGTCTCGACTAGTTTGAGCGGTAATTTCCTGCTCACAATCTAAATAGAGAGTGTAGTCGAAGTAGCCACAACTTTCGATAGCCAAGAATTAAGCATTTATGCTTATTTTGATCTTGCTTAACTTGCACAAGTAGACACCGAGACTGACTGAACACACCCATGCAGGAATGTCTGTGTGAATATGAAAAGAGTAGCAGTTCAATACCCGACAGTGATTCTGAGTCACAAATGTGTGATATCCGGAATATACATGAAGGTCTCAATCTACTGAATATGTGGATGAGCCATGACAGAAAATGTGGGTGGCAAATTCTTTATCTATAGATCGTGCAGTTAGTATCATGCAGAAGGTGCACGTCTTCGTGTGTCTCTCATCAGAACCTGCTCTTTATGACACTTATCTGTTATCAAACTTCAGAGATAGCGCTCATTTGTACCACAAAGCGATCACTAATCACCACATTTACTTGCAGATTGCGTACATCTAGATGCATAATCAGTGATAGTACCACTTAATGCTGTGAGTACATCCTTTCAGCAGATTTTTATAATCGGAGATTGGGACCAAGACTGGTCTTTTTAAAAGCATACGGGTCATTAAAGATGAGCAGCTGTGAGTTCAAAGACTCAAAGACGAGACTGTCGTCAATGATGACTTCCCCTAAAATTCTTCAAGCTCGAAAAACGAGGGAACACGGTATTGGATGACAACACCATTACCTTCTCTGGAGCAAATATCCCTATTCTTAATTCTTAAATTTTATATCTAAATCGGAGCTAACATATGCGATCGCGCATTCTTTTCAATAGCTTAAGTATATTGTTTTCGAAATTTATATTCTTCACCCACCTTTACGACATCTGCGCGACGGTTTATACTGTACCGTACAACGAGCAACACAGGTGCATGGAGTGCTGATAAATTTTGATGTGCAGTTGCCAGTCCACCACGACAGACCGACTCTCTGCTTTTTCTTCTCTCTTATTACTTTTCATAATACTTACTATGCCGCTGTCTACCGACTGCGTTGACGGTGTTGGAGCTCTCGACGACGAATTACTAGCTGCATTAGATGACGTACTTTCAATCTCTGAGTCAAATTTGATTGATGATGCATTGTCAACGATAGATAACATGACACTTGGGGATGAAATCGATACGATGCTATCGATTGGGGTTCCACCTCTTGTTCTAACAAATACGCCGGCAAAAGAAGTGACGTCGCCAACTACGCCTGATATGTCGGCAAAGTCTCCTAATCAATCTGTTAATGGTGATCAAACGCCTCCACATTTAAGCAAGAAAGGAAAAGAAGCACGTATGACACCATACTCGACTTCAAACAAACCACGTCATCGCAAGCGTCCGAAAGATGAGCTTGATTACTTACGTGCCAAGGTAAATGACATGGAGGAGAAGTTGGCTGTATTACAAAGCCATGATACTGAATCACCTAGTGCACAAGGTGTTTATAACAGCGATGCTAGCCTCACTCTTGGGTCATCACAAGATATGCTACAACGCTGGAAAAGAATTGCCGGACGTCAGAAGAAAGAAGTTGACCGCTCTGTACTTGAAAATATGCGTTTGCGTGCGATGCTTGAAGGTCAACTCAATGTTGCAAGGAGTCTTGAAGAAGCCATTGAGCAACAACAACGCGAGTCAGTGCAGTCTCTATTAGGTGTTGGAGATGGAATCGGAGGGTCAAATGTTCTATCAGATAATTTCCTTTTTGCTCGTCTCAATGAAGGTCTGGACTCACAATATATGGAACTTGACACGATTTACGAGCTGTGTGGAATTGCTCATGTCAATTGTGACATGAACAATGGAACGAAGGTTCTGCATGATGTGACGGGAGTTTCTATTCGACACGAAGAAGTTCGTGTCTTGCCTTTTTCGATGGATGCAGTCCAGCGAGCGATTTGGAGTATCTTTCGGTACAGTACAGGCAAAGATATGATGCTTGGGCCTATGCAGACTCAAGTCGTGGATGAAAATTGTGTGAATATCACAATGAGGGAAAAACTTGATTTAGGCTCAGCTAAAGTCGCGAATACTGTTCGACGACTCGCGTTTCGGCGCATTTTTGAAGAGAATCGCACAGTTGTGATTTGGAGCTCGTATATTGAGATCGACGGATCGGTTTTTGTTCGGATGCGAGACAAGGGGTACATTACAACGTCTTTATATAAGTTTGGGACTGATAGCTTCGGTGGTGGTGTTCCGGGATCTGTAACTCGAATTGTTGTATTGGCAAGTCCAGAAATGTCTGCATTTCCATCGGCTGAAACGCATAGTGCACATATTGGCGAGATGACGGAACTGGTTGTTGGTCTATATCGTGTCACTGCAGGCTTGTTTGCTCAAACTATTGATATGCTATTGCTACAAGAAGCAATGGGTGGAAAAATGATTGAAGGTGAACCTGCTGCCAGCCCTGTACCGATCAATCAAGTCTGAATTAATTTTTATAGATGATTCACTATATTAGAGCGCAGTTTAGAGTAAACACTGATTGTGTCCACATACAAATATTAAACTAGAAACTACTCCCATGATTCTGTCCACACTCGCATCTATTCGCAAATATCTTATAAGAAACTGCTATTTGATGGCTTACAATTATTGCCAAGATGTGGCCATTTCCAAGGAGTCTGCGTTGACAACACCAAAGGGTTGGGCTGCCAGCCACAGTATGGTACAGTTGTTAATTTCCTTAGAAGACTAGTGATTTTCTGTTTGTTACTGCGATGAATGCCCGTCGAGATTTGAAAACTTTGGGTAATGTGGAAGCAGAGCGTGACGTTTCCGTAAGAATAGACGAAACCAATGATTGAATAGTTAAATTTGTAACTTAATAATCGACAGAGACAGCGAAACCTACCGAAATTGTCGTGGACGCGAAACAAACCTACGACGAGATCCTAACGAGTGTTATAAGCAGCTTTTCGATGAACTTTTGGTCAGTCTCAGAAAGAGCTTTTGTGTTACAGTACAGTACCGCATCACTTCATATTTTACAACAAACATTTTCATGAATATTTAAAGAACGTGGCTGCATCGTATAGAAAGCTTTGATTTATAAAGTCTGCGCTAGCAAACACGCAGTGTGCGCAGCGAGATCAAAAAAATTTAAGTCCTTTAGTCTTTTCTGAAAAGATATAGTAAGAATAAAATCAGTAATTGTAAAATTATAATAAAGGAACATATCAGTTATATTTCATAATCTAGCTAAAAAAGTATAAGTGAATATTGATTAAAATTTAATAACTAATTTATTATCTCACCATAACGTTTCTGACGTACGGCTGGCAGCCAGCGTGAACCACGGACCCCTTCTACTTATAGCTGCATCAAATTTATCAGAAGCAATGTTCCTTACAGCTGTTGCAACAAGTAAAACGTGCATTTTATACAATTGTACTTTTTTGTATCAAATACAACTGTAGCAGTGGGTATGTTTGAAGTACACAAGTCGACAGAACTAACCCCTCCAACTAAGATGTGGACAGCACTGAGGCTCATACTTAGTTTGTCCTTCAAAAACATTAAGCAAAAGTATCTGTTCCACGAGCAATCGTTGCGTCTGGAGCTCCACGCCAATCTCTGCTCTTTACCGCACCCGCTCTTCTACGCGAATTTGCACATGGAGGCCTTCCTTGTTCACCAAATTAAAAAGATCAGCGGGCCCCCTGAGAAAAGCTACTTCCTGTACCCGACGTGCTAAGGAATCCTCAGTGAGAATGCCGAGATTTTATAAGAACGGCCCCAGTGACTATCTGAGTCCCGGTCATACACCATTGCCCTCAACCAGCGATACATGGCCTAGCCGCTTTACAAGAAAGAGGTGCTCGCTACACTCGACGTCCCCATTGCACGAGCAGCGGTCTCGGCAAAAAGTATTTCGACACCCGGCCGCGGAACTCACGAGGATGTCCAGCTTGTTACCAACAAGCTGTATCTTGCTCAGATCGCCCATCCTGCTCTACTGAAAGCGCAAGAGTCATGTCAACTTTTGCCCAAATTATCAAGCACATGAATAAACCGACCGAAGTCGCCACCGCACTAATTTGGCACTTCTACACGCCCATGTCGCAAGTCTTCACTCAAACCAAGTGGAAACGAGACTTCGACAGTCGCTCATGCGGTTGTATTCCATTCATAAATAGCCACTTTCGATACGTTCCATCTGCGCTTGGAGCAGCAGTGGGGAGCGAAAGTCGTATTTGTCGTGGGGATGCACCCTGGGTACTTGAAGCTGGTGAAAGCGCCGATGATTATTGGATTTAGTTCGCGCACTGGATGAGTAAAAGACGCCGCCTCATCTATATCAAGATTTCAGAGTAGTGGAAGTCTGCCTAGAACATTGTCTTATGCCTGATTTGCAAGGTACGCAGCATGACGTGGATGTCGAGGTGACAACCCATCACCTCAATTACCTGCCGCTTACAGCACTGCTCTTCATGATCCAGCTGTATAAGCTATCGACTAAAGTTCTTATGAAACGTAGGTCGTTCACTTTTAATTAATAGTACGCGCGCTGCAACGAACGACCACGCCGCTTTTCCACGAATGATAAAGGCCATGGTGCGTTATGCCATATGCGCCGGGGCAAGCTTGCCGAAGTGAAAGCCCAAATCTTTACATGTGAGGTACTCCTGTCAGTTCACCAGGTACTGGTAGCTACCCTGGTGTGCCCGCTGGCCCATCAAATGCTCCACGTGATGTCTGGCCGCCTCTTGCTCATCGAGCAGCGCCGACGATGGTTAATTCTCCCATGCTGGCTCTCACGACATTTTTCATTCCGTTTGTTTAAGAGTCAGTGCGTGGACCCGAACGCAGAAAGTATCCATATTTCGAATTTGGTCTCTGAATTTTGCCATCTCACTGACCGGCTAATGACACCATTAGTGGTAAAGAACCGCGTCGTCACCTTGATGCACATGGTAGATCAGCTACAGAAAATTGTAGAGGCGTTGCTCCGTCTGCAACAGAGCTCATCATGGTCGACTGGCTGGTAATAGCAGGATCGTGGTATGAATTCAGAAAGCGTATGTCGAGCGCTGTATGTGATAGCAATTTTGGAATGTCTAAGATATAACACAATTCCTTCCTCGCTGCGAGCGGCCCGACGTAGATCGGTATAATTTGTGACGTAGGTAAGTTGATTGCAGTTATGCATATTTTTGCTCCACAACATAGTCGTGTATGCTTCGCATGCCTCGGGATCGCTGTTTTGCTGTTGTTTATCTTCGCTTTTAGCCGTAGTCGTGCACCGTGCACATGATGCTCAATCTCAGTGAGACAAACTTTTCATTTTGCTACAAAGTGTAGCTGAGCTGATATCCGCAAGTGAATTTGATCGATAGTCAATATGTGGCAGTGCAATCTTTGCGATACCAATAACTGAAGGTTCGACTCAGATCTTGAAACAGTCGTACGGACGACTTTGGATGACGGATGGAGGGAGAGAAGCAGACAATTCTCTTTAGTTATTAATGACGACAACATGTCCGTTTGATACGAAGCCTTGTTATCAACATCTGTTTTCTACACAGCAGGTGTACGAAGCATGTCCTCTATGGCAAAATCTCGTGAGAGTTATCTGTTAACTCTTGTAAGTAAAGTAGACGACGCGCCCCGCTTTCTATGCGCTCTGGGCGCCTCTTTTGCGTGTGGTTCCTGCTTGTATTTGCATTAGTCCTGTAGCTCACAGCTTATGTAGACTTCATTCCATTACAAGCTCTCTATACTTAAAGTCGACCTCATTGCGCGTTTTTCATAGCTTTGTGATGCACATGTGGCATGGTATTCTCCACAACCTTTTCCATGCCAAATCTGTTGTCGAAGAAGCGCCTCGTCATACAGACTAGTGGTGCAGAGAAAGCAACCAGTATATATCGATATTACCGGTGTGGACAGGCGAATGGCGCAAGT